ATATTGATGGACCAACGGGGATATATGCCTGACAGAAGGGAGGATGATATAAAGATAGGCATGAGTTAAGCAGGTAGGATGGTTAGATATGCATCAGTCAATATAGAATGGATATGTCTGCACAAAAGAGGATTATGTTCTGAGAGGAGACATGAGACATGTTCTGAGAGGAGAAAGTTGTCCTGATGGTATGAGATTGCCTGTAATGCCAGGACAAGACACTGGCATGTAGTTTCTTCCTGTACAGAGGAGTGTCGATTGCCCAGTACAACATTCCATGTGTTTTAAGATGATCAATACAGCTCAAGCTCTTCATTCTGGATGTAAAATCATAGCGACATCACGCACAGAATGCTTCACAAGAATGTAGAGATGTCTATATTTGATATACCGGTAGTAGGGATGGTTTTGATGTTACAGGCAGATTGTTTGATTTACTCTTGTGTTAAAGGTTTGTGCTAATTGCCTACCAACCAGTGTTCACTGTGGGTGCATCGTCCACTCACCCTTAACTCCTCCACACTTATAGCCCTGGATGTAATGGTGCAGAGGTAGCTAGGTTTCATTTAAAGATGTTGTCGTAACGCCAGTGTGTTTATGAAAATAATAAGGCTTCTTATTAACTTGGCTGAAGGACTGTTTTGCTATGGAATGCCAATTATGACTGTGTAATGGTTCTGGTAACAGATATCAGACTGTACGGTTGGTTGAAATTGGTCATGTGACCATAGAAATGTTCGGGACTTTTCCAAGCATTTTAACACTCTTCAATGTTAGATTTGTTCTATCTAATGTACCATATCATATTTCTACATGGACTCAAGGAGAAGCTTGTCTGTGTATTTTCTGGTATTCACACAAGACATTGTTAGAGTTAGTGGTAATTACAGTGTCTGTTGTAAGATTTCCTAGGAGTTTTAATGTCATATTAATTAACACTCGTACCCAGTTGCATATTTACCTATCAATCAACCTATATATGTCCTGTCTATTGAGGGGCAGCTTGCCCTATGCGGAGTCGTGTCCCTTGGTCATGCCAGCATCCGGTGTTTGTGGGTTCAAATTGCTGTTTGTTGGATTATGTTTCTAGGTTTGTATGCACTATACCTATACACTCTCTGCCTCTCACCTGCATCCCTGTGGGCTTTGTTCATACATTGATCTAAAGCCCCATTACCTAACTTGAATACTATCCAGAAGGGTGTATAAAACCTGACTCACTCACCCACCTGCCCTCAGGCCTACCCTACCCACCTACTTCAGTACATACCTACATGTGTAAAGATACATCTACCCACCTACCTGTGTCCAGACACATCTACCCAACTACCTGTGTACAGAACCAGCTACCTACCTACCTACCTACCGACCTACCTACTGACCTACCGACCGACCGACCTACCTTCTGACCTACCGACCGACCTACCTACCTACCTACCTACCTACCTACCTACCTACCTACCTACCTACCTACCTACTGACCGACCGACCGACCGACCGACCTACCTACCTACCTACCTACTTACCTACCTACCTACCTACCTACCAACCAACGGACCGACCAACCCACCGACCCACCTAACTACCTACCTACCTACCGGTACCTACTGACCTACCTACCTACCTACCTGCCTACCTACCGACCTACTCTTCAGTCCAACTCTTATGCTGACTGACAACCTCTATGTGGAGGCAAGCAGGTGACCTGCTGAATGCTTCGTTACCACGACGGCCTCTAAACACCTGTTTTATGTCCATCCAGCATTAATTTCTCAGATCTGTCAATGTCTATACAACCACAGGGCTCTGCGTGAAGACATGGTCATGTGATACTGAGCTTCAGCACCAACTACAAGTCTATGGTCGTCTGTGACGTCATCGACACTTCATTTTAAGTCGCTGACCATGTCAGTCAGTATTTGCAGGCCAGTGACAGACACACAGATATCCGTTCTCCAACCGTATGAAGTGTCATATTGGAATGAACCATCACAGCTATTGAAGTTGAATAATTAATGTGTTTGGAATATTTGGCAGTATTTCTTCACTCTGGAGACACATTTGTTTATCAGCAGCAGCGTAAATGTAATTGAGCTTTTCCTTTAGTCATGTTGTTGGAAATCACCCCTGTCTTAATTACTTAGCACCTTCACCAAATCAATAGAAGAAAAAACGGTTTTCCATTAAAAATTGAAGGCTTTGATGAAAGGGCAAGTAGTTGCAATCTTGTCCTTTGATTTCTTCACAACTTTGAAAACCCACTTACATCAACTTGGTAAAGTACGTCATCCATTCCACACCTTTCGTCACAAAGCTGCATGGACACAAATATCAGCGTTACGTCACTGCTGTGTTTGCCAATCTGCACTGAAATAATGTTGGAAAGTAATGAGTATGCTAAACAATCATTTTTAAAGTTCCTCCACTCAAAGTGATGAAGGAAACCTTATGTTAAATCACAAGTGTCTAGAGAGAATACTGGGAGATTGCAGATTGATTGCCCTGTCAGTGAACCGCTGTTGTCCATAAGCAAAACATCAGTACACAGTATCAGAGGCTCATATTGTCATCACTCAATTCAATCTAATAGAATGAAAAACATACATCATATATGCTCTACCAGTAAGTTATTAACCTTTTGTTTTTCAATTAAAAACTATGAATGCCCTTATCCTGATTATAATCAGATCTATGCACTTAGAAGTAGGGGTGGGGTGGGATGCTAGGCTTAAGTCACTGGCTGACCCAAGAAATTTGATTCAAATCTTTCAAAACCCACACTGTTTTCTATCCAGTTTAACTGCCGTACATCAAGTCAGTACTTACTGAGTAGTCAGGATATGGCTAAAATATTGCTGATGTGACGTTAAATAATAACTCACTCACTCTGACTTACTGAGTATCAGTTGTACATAGGGCACAGGATCACTCATCAAGCTATAGATTAATAGCTATGGTCAATCTACAGACAGGAGAATGTGTATCAGTTGTACACAGGGCACAGGATCACTCATCAAGCTATAGATTAATAGCTATGGTCAATCTACAGACAGGAGACTGTGTATCAGTTGTACACAGGGCACAGGATCACTCATCAAGCTATAGATTAATAGCTATGGTCAATCTACAGACAGGAGACTGTGTATCAGTTGTACACAGGGCACAGGATCACTCATCAAGCTATAGATTAATAGCTATGGTCAATCTACAGACAGGAGACTGTGTATCAGTTGTACACAGGGCACAGGATCACTCATCAAGCTATAGATCAATAGCTAAGTTCAATCTACAGACAAGGGACAGTGGGGTAGCCTACTGGGTAAAGCATTAGCTCATCATGCTGAAGACCAGGTTTGATTCCCCGCATGGGTACAATGTATGATGCCCATTTCTTGTGCCATGATATTGCTGGAATATTGCTGACAGCAGAATAAAACCATTCTCTCTGAACAGACCACAGTGCAAAGTCCCCCTATAAGAGTAACATCGCAGGCACCCGATGCAGCAAGGAAAAACAGGTGGTGGCTAAGGGTGCAGCGACATGGGAAATGGTGAATTATAGGAAGTACTTATGTACAGCACATCTTTTGTTTGCAGCCAACAAGGTGACTGTAGTTGGATATCCTGCATGAACATTACACTTGTTGAGTGAATAGGAAACCTCAGCTTCTGTATTGCCGCAGGCTTGACATCTGGCACATGTACAGTGACACATTAGGAAGGAAAAATATAGTTTAGAGTTAATGTTTGTTAATGTTTAGTTTGTAATTGGCAAGAAAATTAAGTTTCAGTTTGCATTGGTGGAGGCATACATTTATAGTTTATGTTTATATTTATCATTTAAAAAACTCAGAAACAAATCCTGAAACAAAGAGTTCCAATGAATATTTACACGAACAGTGATGACACTTTGTCAACTTAGTGTTCATATGGACAGTGCAGTCTTGAAATATTTCATGTAGTCTTTCGGATGTACACTGCAGACTTGAGATTGAAAGTGCATCAGGAGAGTTACAATGCCTACTCTTGGCTGAAATAGAAAGTTTCATTTTATTGTGTTTGGCATGGAGATGTCAGTCATCCCATGTTGCAGGGTAATGGTGTTCTAGGTATAGGAGTGCAGGCACAGGCAGCTTGCAGACCTCATCACCAGGTATTGTATGCTGGGAAAGTAGGATAGGGAGGCCAGGGTTACCATCAGGAACAGCTCCATATTTTGTATGATTCATCAGTACAAAGAAACATCAGTCATTAAAGCCCTCACTCTCAGCAGTTCCTGGAGCTGCTGAGGATGATGATGTGAATGGTAGCTAGACGTACGTGTTGGGAGAGCTTCACAAACCAACTTCAATCACCGACCTCCTTGTTAGAAACTTTCATTTAAGAATCTGAAGATGGTTGGCCTGATCACCAATATAATTTTGTCTTTAGCCCTTAAGACGATGTGTGCTGATGGCTTCATGGCAGTAGAAATCACAGAGAATCTGTGATTGATTTAAGTACTTTGCCGATTCCTCCCAGCGCAACCGAACGGAAAGTGAGCATCAGATGCCAGCAACATCACCCAGGGGCAATTACGTCCAAACTATTTCAAGTATTTTGTCATGTCCTTGTGTCAAGTTGGAGGAAGGCTGATATGAGCGTTAATCTCACTCATGGCCAATATGTCCAATATCGCAGCTCCCTCCAATACCACCTGATATGTGAGCTTGCCACATGGCTTGCTTTTACAGAGCTGTGGATCAGTATCATCAGCACCAGCTTGTATCACCCACCCCTCATGGTCATATATACACCAGCTTGGTGAGATTCCATTCATCCTCTACACATGGCCTAGGTGATATTGTCCAAGACTCCGCCGTCGTCACACAATATACCCCAACTAGGCGATATATCTTCCTCCTGAGTGTATTCATCACCTCTGGTTGCCAGGTTATATGTGTCACTTTACAGTTGTTGTTACAATGCCATCTCTTCTTACATGGATGCTTCTATTGCAGATTACCTGATGCAAGCAGTGATGCGGTGAAGTGGTCGTGGTTGACGCTGTCCCCTGCCGGTCCAGTGTCACCGAGGCAAGTGCCAGCCTTCTAGCTACCCTGCAGATCAATACAGCAGTACGTCTCCCAGCTCGTAGTACATCCAACTCTGAGTATCTCTGTATGGGGACACTGACAACGCTGGAACAATGTAGCAATAAGTGGCACTTATTACTTCCACCTACTAGTCATCATGGATATCATCTAAGCCACCCTACCCTTGGAGCTAGGAGGTCGTTCCACCAATCATAGGTAAAACAAGTGTGTTAAGTGCAGAGATGAGGATATCGTTCTGGGCCGGACCCAAGTGGTAAGTGTTGGAACAAGAAGAGTGAACACCCTGGATGCCATCAATTGCTGTCCACTTATAATGTCATCTTCTTTTAACCAGGTGCTCAGCTGAGTAATTGATGTATGAGCAACTTGTTCAACTTTTTAGCCTCCTTCCCCAGTACATTGCCTTGGTTGTGTCAATATGTATGGATACCGAGCCATTCCGATAATACCACCTGCAGTGTGATGCACGTCCCAGTGACCTTAGGGAACAAAGATCAGCACGCGGGCAATTAACGTGTGTATGTTAATATCCTGGACTTGATGATATGGAACTTACGGAGATGGGGACTCGCCAGAGAGAGTTGGGGCAGCTGGCAGTGGTACCAGTGGCGCCGACGGAGGAAGTCACTTATGGTCCGGAGTCTGCACACTCCACGTGTGAGTCACAGGCAGCTTGGGTCGAATACAAGCCTGTGCTTTCACAAATGGATCGCCTGTTGGATGAACGGTACCGGGCCAAGTTAAAAAGTAACGTTACTGCTACCCTGCAAGCTAAAGTGTATAACTTTCTGGAGAGGCCGACAGGATGGAAGTGCTTCATATACCACTTCACAGTGTGAGTATACCTGTTTATGCACTGTTTATTGGGCGAGTGTTGCGGTATTTATCCCACCTATTTTTTAACAATAACAGAGACACAACCTGCATGCAACTTGTGCAAGATTTGTGAGATAATTGTGTGCACCTGTCTTAATGAGTGATGAGTGGAAAATATGAATTGTTTGTGACGTCTGCAAACACAGAAGAACTCCTGCACATGTAATTGTTTACTTTTTTATGTTTGTTTTTTTCACAGAAATATGTATCTGTGTTCTTAACAGGTCACACGAGTTTCTTGTTGTTTGTGTATACTCTGCTGAATACAAATGCTTCTAATAGCTTAATAATAATTAGTTCTGTTGAAGACAATGCCATCTAAAGTCTGCCACTGACCGAGCGTGGTTTTGTACACTGTCTTCGTACACTTTACACAATTAGAACATGCAGTTTATTGATTGCCTCCACACATGATACGTCTATTAAAAGGTATGGTATTTATATGCACTCGGCCTGCTGGCCTTTACCTGGTTGTATTTGCATGCAGATGAGACCATCACTTCTATCAATATGTCAACAGTGGCCGGAGTATTTGGCCGGGGTAGTTTACACATGATTATTGAAATAATTATGTTTATTAATTGCTTGGGGAGCAATATTGGATAATAGCGTGTGTCAGTCGTATCATTCATGATGCGTTTAGGCCACCGTGGAAGTGTTTTTTGTTTTGAAAGGTGATAGCGAAAAACAATCAGTGTCATGGAACTGTACGCTGCTTAAAAAACTAAAACGAAATCTGATTCTTTCATATTCCATAGCAAGACAGATTAACTATAGTGATATTAACAAATCAGGTGTTAAATTATTTTGAGCTGTATATATTTTATGCAGAATGTGAACTTACATGTCTGTTTATTTCTTTTTAAAAATGTTTTCAGAATCAGTTCAAAATTTATTACTTGATGACACATACAGATTTTCCTTTGATGTATATCCACATTTCTGTGTGATCTCCTAACCAAAACCATAATCCCTGCAACATTCTCTGGTAGCTTGGCATAGTGGTGTAGGTGTTAACGTCTATAGAATCAGTTCCCACAATGTCATATTATTCTAGCTGACTACAGGATCACACTGACTATAAATTTTCATTGATTCAGTTTAATATCCAATTTATGTCCAGTGTGAATTCATGTACATTCATTTCTTTCTGTAATCAACTTGAATGTTTCAACAACATGTTACAATTAAAATGAATTTTCCTCTGAAACTTTTATTTGAATTGATAAAGGGCATGCTAGTAAAGCTGATTTCTGTATTTCTTTATGTGAATAATATTTTCTGTCATTAAAAGATTTCATTACAAGCACACCAAATCTAAACATCAGTGAAAATGATATTTTGATGGCAATAGTATTGTTTTAATTATTTTTGTCCTGACCAAAGCCCTTTTAGAAATTCTACACAATAGTCATGTGTTTTTTAAGATTTGCAATTAATTCCAACAAAATATGTCAATGCTGAAGGCAAATTACAATCTCAACTATTTACTTTTTACTTGCAATCATTTACCAAACTCCATAGCAATCGAAAGCAATTATCAGTATTTGCTATCAGTATTTTCCCTTCAGTTATGTTTATATGTCATGCAGATAAACCAATGCTCCGTGTGTATTCGTACAATGGTACAATGATACAATCAGTGAAACATGTGGGCTGGAGATTCAGGTGTGAAAACCTGCTGTGAACATTTGTAATACAATTATGTTGATATTTTGTTATTGCAACTGTCCAATATAATGTTATTGCAACTGTTCAATGTAACTTTAATCACACCTGTTCAATATAATGCTATCATACCTGTTCAATATAATATTATTACACCTGTTCAGAAATTAAAAATGTTAGTTTTACAAGAAATGGGTTAAACAAAACTACATTTGTATCGTGCAGATATTGTGGCAAGGAATATTTAGTTTTAAACAAAAACGGTCCTAGTAAGATACAGACTTGAGGAGAGAACCTGTCAGCATACAGTCAGTCCCTGTGTTAATTATTAATATTGCTGGATAGGACCGAGTACCGTTTCTCCTGGCAAAGGCAGCCTCGTGTTGTAGTTGTTTGATTGCAGTGTACATAAACACAATGGCACCACCGCTCTTAACCCCTGTGCTAGCAGACAACTGGTAATGATTTCATGTCAATTATTGATGGCTGGGCAACTTGCGTAATGTTACAAATCAATGGCCAAACATTGATAATTGTTATGTTCAGTGTGTTTTGTGATTAAGATATATTTCATTTGAATCTAAACTCATTTCTGAACAAACAAAACAATGAAAGTGAAAGGTTATCAGTTGTACAGTGTGAAACATTCTGAATTGTGTTCAGTGTTTGGTTGATGTTCATGAAGGTTGCTCCGCCGTTCGCATTTCGGCAGTGTGTTTGTTTCGATTGTACGCATGTGTATTATGATGGTTGTACTGAGAAAATATCTTCCTGCAATCATGACCATGTGCATAACTCACAAGCAGAGCAACTTGAATTCATCATCATCATCATCATCATCATCATCATCATCATCATCATCATCATCATCATCACCTGTCACCACCACAAATATATTATCATCATTATTTTATTCATCCATGTGATTTTCTGTCCACATGGCCTCCCTGATCATGACACTGCATTAACTACTGTAGGATGTCATATTGTCATGGTAATGTCATATTGTCATGGTGATGTCATATTGTCATGTGATGTCATGGTGACATCACATTGTAACAGCTGTGCACTGATGAACTCCCCCGAGGAGCAAAGGCACTGTTATAATGAAAACTTTGTAGTTGCTTCATTTTGTATATTTATAAAGTACCAACCAGCAGTTATCAACACTTTCCATATATGTATACGCATGTACACACACTGGCACAACTACTTACACTCACTAACACATACAGTCACACTGGGATGAGTGAGTGAGTGAGTTTGGTGGAGTGTGTTGGTAAGGGATGTTATGATCTGTCTCAGCGCTGTAGTTAAGTCAACATCGGTCAATCATATCTGACAGATTTATTGTGTGAAAAACAAATTGGATTCCTTCATGATAACTGGATAATGGTTACATTATGAGTAAACTACATCTGTTACTCAGTGTTCTGCGTGGCAATTCCACCGACAGTATTGTATTAATTTCATATTTCTGTGGCCATATACAATTCCCTCATTGATGAGAGCTTCAGTTGGTGACTCGTTGTAAATAAGTAATGTGTATCTGTGTGCCGAGCCGTACTATAGCGATGTTTCAGTGTGATAAGCTGCTAGACCGGTGATCTGCCAGAGGGCATGAACGCCACCTGACAGTGCCCCTCATACGACAATAGGAATAAGCATCAATTATGTATGGTGATAAAATCAGCTCCCCAGCATCAAACAATGAGTTACAGATTGGGCGTGGGTCAGTCGTAGCAGCCACCTCACTGTTGTCACGTGTCAGTACTATCATTGGTGTGTTCTTCTTCTTCGTCGTCATCATCATCGTCATCATCATCATCAGTAACAGCATCACTATCATCATCAGTAGCAGCAGCCTTGCTATCATCATCAGTAGCATCAGTAGCATCATCACTATCATCATCAGTAGCATCACTATCATCATCATCAGTAGCAGCAGCCTCATCATCGTCAGTATCATCATCATCACTATCATCATCAGTAGCATCACTATCATCATCAGTAGCATCAGTAGCATCATCACTATCATCATCAGTAGCATCACTATCATCATCAGTATCATCATCAGTAGCATCATCACTATCATCATCAGTAGCATCATCACTATCATCATCAGTCATCATCATCATCATCATCAGTAGGCATCATCATCAGCATCATCATCACTATCATCATCAGTAGCATCATCACATCATCATCATATCATCATCACTATCATCATCATCACTATCATCATCAGTATCATCATCACTATCATCATCATCATCATCACTATCATCATCAGTAGCATCATCACTATCATCATCAGTAGCATCATCATCACTATCATCAGTAGCATCATCATCACTATCATCATCAGTAGCATCATCACTATCATCATCAGTAGCATCATCATCACTATCATCATCAGTAGCATCATCACTATCATCATCAGTAGCATCATCATCATCATCATCATCATCATCATCATCATCACTATCATCATCAGTAGCATCATCACTATCATCATCAGTAGCATCATCACTATCATCATCATCATCATCACTATCATCATCAGTAGCATCATCACTATCATCATCATCATCATCAGTATCATCATCATCATCAGTATCATCATAGCATCATCACTATCATCATCAGTAGCATCAGTATCATCATCATCAGTAGCATCATCATCATCATCATCATCATCATCATCATCATCAGTAGCATCATCATCATCATCATCATCATCATCAGTAGCATCATCACTATCATCATCAGTAGCATCATCATCATCATCATCAGTAGCATCATCACTATCATCATCAGTAGCAGCAGCCTGGCTATCATCATCATCATCATCATAGCATCATCATCATCATCATCATCAGCAGCATCATCACATCATCATCAGCATCATCATCATATCATCAGTAGCATCATCACTATCATCATCATAGCATCATCATCATCATCATCATCATCATCAGCAGCATCATCACTATCATCATCAGTAGCATCTATCATCATCAGTATCAGCAGCATCACTATCATCATCACTATCATCATCAGTAGCAGCAGCCTGGCTATCATCATCAGTAGCATCATCACTATCATCATCAGCTCATCATCATCTATCATCATCAGTAGCATCATCACTATCATCATCAGTAGCATCATCACTATCATCATCAGTAGCATCATCAGTAGCATCACTATCATCATCAGTAGCATCATCACTATCATCATCAGTAGCATCATCAGTAGCATCACTATCATCATCAGTAGCATCATCACTAT